CCCAAAAAAAAAAAAAAAATATGGGATGAAGAGGGGAAAGGAAGAAGAGAATATAGGGTTAAAAAATCTGTAATTGTTAAAAATCATGGAGAAGCAGAAGGGAAGAGATTATTTATACTAGATTAAGACCTGGACATACCTACTTGAATGAGTTTTTGTTTGTACTAGGAATGGAAATAATGATTTATGTGAGGATTGTGAAAGAAAAGAAAATGTGGATCATGTTTTGATGGATTGCATTAAATGTGCAACTGAAAGAGAGGATGAAGAAAGTAATAATGGGAAAGGGGAGAAAATTGAGTATTAAAAGAATTTTAGGGACAGATAGAGATATGGAGGAAAATTTGGTTATTAATAAAGCATTGTTTTTATTTTTACATAACACAAAAATAGAACATAGTAAGTGGAAATATAGAGCTACACTGTCATGTACAGTAGGTGGCGGTATGCACCTATAAGTTGTTTGCAATCCGCCAATCTAACAAAGAAGAAGAAGATCCACACTCCAAACCAGTTGGTGGCGGTAATTGCCACATTTCGTTGCGTAGCAACCGCCAATAAAATCCTATAAAGAGGAAGAAGAACAGGCTACATTTCTGAATTTCTAAATGGGTTTTTCATCTTTAATACAAATTGTTTACATGGTGTGTTAGTTGCTGGGGGTGGGCGGCAAAAAATAAAATGTTTCCACAATCACCAATATTTTAGGTTAAACGCAATGTGTAATATACAGAGTAAAAAAAACAAACAAGCTTATCCAATCAAAATATATTTATTGTTGTTAGGATTGTTTCATTATTATTCATATAGGACAAACTGAAGAAATTCGGTTAGAAACAACTAAAGAGTTGAGACCAAGGGTTAACCTGACAGCAGTACATCACGTTTTATTCTTAAAGGTCCGCTCATAACTGATAAACTTGCTTACCGTATGAAACTTCTAGCTGCAAACACATTTTATATTTTCATTATTGTCTGATGTAGAACAGCTTGAATGTCGATTTCCCAGAGCTAATGAGTTTTACCTAACAGGCTTCCGTAGCAGGAGGAAGTGGTTCATTCTCTCCACTAGTGAGTTCTTTTTTAGTTATTTTTTTATTTATCTATTTTTACCCATTCACAATTTTCTTCTGACTTTAGAGACGTCGAAGAGGTAAAATCTGTAAATGTATGTCTTTGTCATGTTTCTATGAACAGATAACAGTGTGCGATATTTGGCCTCTAAGCCGAAAAATAGCTGCTAGCTGCTGCCTTGCTAACAGTCAGTCTGTGTCCATGATGAGCTGCTGATACTTGGAAAAGCCCGACTTTATGCACATTCAGTCAGGATAAGTCAAGGTAAAACTAGGAATTAAAATGAGTTCTTTCTTTTTATTCATGTATTTTGTTATATTTTCGTAATTCTTGCTCTTAAATAGAACACGGACTGTCGCTTTGTTGTGATACAACTGCTGCTGCTGCCTAACCTAGCACAGTTGATCATAAAATAAAGTAAACCTCTGGATTATAACTAGGGTTACCAAATCAGTGTAAATTTATAAGACCTATTCTTGGCCAGGAATTGTCTTCCACCCTACTGATATATGAATTTATTTTCGCCCTTTATTTTAATTTTATTTATATATTTTAAATCAAACCTGAGTTAAATTAGACACATCATTATGTGTCTTGATATGGGACAATTCTTTTTTAAAAGGACAGTTGGCAAAAATAACTATTACAGGAGCAGCTTTCAGACTTTAAAATGTTTTTTGGCATCCCTGGAAATGAGATCTGTAATTCCTTAGAATAAATTTATCTTTTATATCAGCAGAATGATTTTACTCTTAAAAATAAGATTAATGCAAATTTTAACATGCTTAACTTAATCATTGAGACATAACAAAATAAACCTCCCCCGCTATTAATAATCAGCACAACATCTGGTTTCTTATAAGCCCTGGTCTTCTTTTTCTTAGATCATCCCATAGCTCCTCTGTAATTATTTGCTCCTACGGTGTGTTTGTGGACTGCATGGTTTTCACAGTACTAAAATTGCAAACTGGATATCGATACCCAGGAAAATATTTGATGCTTAATACCATATTCAATTCAGGGATAATAAATAAAAAAAAGTCAAGCTATTAAAAGCATAAAAAATATATATATCATCATGAAAAACTCAAATATTTCAACTCAACATGCTTTCTCGACAAAATTATATATTCTATTAGTTAAATAAGTGTGCAAAAATATGCAAAATACAGTTACTTAACAAAGTACTCCACATTATCAAAAAAAGTAAATAAACTGATGCTTCTGATGGTTGCTTTGGCAACAAGTATCCTCCAGTGTAGTGGCCAGTAGTTGAAAGTAAATTAGCATTTTTTACTTCATATTTATACTTCAAGAAAACAAAAAGTCATCAATTACAAATTACTGCACAGATGAATTTAAAGCAATGCTTTGGGTGTTTTTTAAGGAATAAATGCCAAATTAATAAACCAAAATACTCCTCGAAGTGGTGATTTTCCACACTGGTTAAATAGTCGTATTCAGTCACTTAGATTGTTATTGAAAAGTTGATTTATTTATGTAATTCACTTCACTTAGTTCAATTAATTTAGTTGAATTAATTCAATTCACTTTTCTGCTTCCAGGTTAGGGTCACATTAAAGATGATGAAATATAAAAATATTAAATCAGAACAAAACATTTTAATACAACACTTTGGGCTTGATGAAAATATATATAAAACATTGTTTAAAGGGCTCTGTTTTTAAAAAAAAGGTGTTTTTAATCTTACCAGCAACCTTTGTCAGAAGACGTATTTCTAAATGTATAATTCCTAAAAGGATACTGGGTTGTAAGATATTATCCAGACATAAAACCTCTGACATGAAACCTCTGTGTGCTCCTCTGTCAGGTTGTGATGGGTGACATTCGGCAGTCGCTGCTGCCTCGGGATGTTCTGAGCGCTGCCAAGGAGCTGCTCTACCACCTGGACATTTACATCTGCAACATGGTGCAGTCCGGCAGGCAGCCCCCTCAGGTGGACACCAAAACCCTGGATCTTATCGAGGAGTTCATCCTGCACACGCCCAAGGATAGAAATGCTCCAGTCAGGGTCAGGCCAATGTATCCTATCCTTTAGTTAGCAAATACTCCACTAGAGAGAAATTAAGCTAACAGCCATCTGTGTTTTGTTTTTGTTGTTTTTTTTCTTCCACAGAGGATGAGTGCCCTGCAGGAGCTTCAGCTCCTAGAGATCATGTGCAGCTGTTTTCAGGAGCAGAGTCGGGACACGGTGCGCCAGCTTATGTTCTCTGCCCTCTTCAATCTTCAAGGAAACCAGGCAGACGAAAGCCGGATGGCGTTGCTGAGCAAACTGGTCTCTATGGCCGTTGCTGTGGGCAGGGTTCCTATACTCGAATGTGCAGCTACCTGGTTACAGGTGAGGAATCAATGCTTATTTGAAGCATCAGACCGCAACATCAGATCTTATTTTTTGTTTTTAATGTTCATTTTGTCAACTTAGAATTTTAAAAGTTGAGGACGGCCGATCAACGTCTGATAAGGCAATAAGGATTATTTTTAATCAATTTGACTGACGCCTGGTATGATAATGATAACAAAAATCTTTCACAAGTCTAATTTTAAACATAAACAAAATATTTATTATTAATACAAAGAAAACATTACCAATAGAAGATACCCGTTTCCCACTGGCTGAAAAAGCTGTTCAAGCCCGGGAACAATTGGCTTTTAATGGCAGTGTGAACAGCTCACTGACCCGGATCAAACAACTCGGCAAGCGCCCCGCTATAAAATCGCCTCGGCTATGATCTGCAATGCTGTGGGAACAGCAGAGCCGGGATTACCTGCTAAATTACGTGACAGTATTGAACGCATCACACCATGCCAGATGCTTCTGATCTAACAAACCAAAACAACTCTGTTTACATTCTATAAAAATGATGCAGTACTGGTGAGAGGGATTCGGACAAATAAAAGAGTAAAACAATAAAGCACA